AATAATCAATGATTTTTCAATAATAAAATTTAATTAATAATAATAAAAGTCACCTTGGTTCAGGTCTTGCATCAATTAGTTGTTCATAATTTGGTGAATCAGGTCCTTCTTTAATATTCTTTCTTATTTGTTCATAAGTTCTTATAAGGTCAGTTCTTACTTCTGGTATTTTATAAACTTTAGGCTAAAAAAATTTTATTATTATCAAATTATCAATTAAGCCATTATTTATTTATTTATTTATTTATTTGCTTATTTACTTTAAATGAAGGTAGTCCGTTATCTAATGGCTTATTTTCATCAATCCATTTTTGTAATCCACCTTCCAACAAAGACACTTTTGCATGATTAAAAACCTTTTTTTTAAAAAAAGATTTTTTTTTAATAATAATAATTATAAAATAATAATAATAATGAAATGATAATAACTTTACTTTAAGAGTCCAGTAAATTCTTGGGCTAGAAAATACTCCAATAGCATCATAACAAATTATATAATCAGTTTCAGAAATTCCCAATTTACCTTTTTTTTAAAAAAAAAAGCCCGCCAAATTTATCAAATAAATTATTCAAATAAATTTGTTTTTAAAAAGATCAAGGTATTAATTACCCATAGCTTCAGCAAATTTTTCAGCTGATGGTAACATATGTGGTAACGTCGTATCATTATCTTTAATTGTATCTATTCCAAAAAACCTTGCATTCTATAATAATGATAATAATTGATTATTACAGGAAAAAAATTTTTTTTCCCAAAATAAACTTATAAAAATTACTTTGATTCTTTTATCCAAATATTCTTTATGTGGATCTTTATTAGCATTTGGCATATACCATGATCCATCAACTGGTATAACTGTATCATCAATATTTTCAGCAAGCCAATCTGTGCTAACAGAGTCAAATGTATTTTGCGAAATTGAAAACATTTTTTTTCTAATCAAAAAACTATTTGATACTATTTGGATGTTTAGGATTAATTTATTAATATACAAAAACATTAAAATTTTCAATTTTTTAGATCTTTCATTTATTTATACCATTTTTGAATATATTAGAACTTTTAGATAATGATAATGATGTAAAATTTCTTTGGATAATGTACATTATTTAATAATTTGGAAAATTTGAAAGATGAAAGATCGTGTAACATTTTAAATTTTATCTTCATTAAAGAAAATTTCGCAAAGAAATTTTTTTTTATCTTATTTTATTAAGGACAAAAATAAAATAATAATAAATATAATTGAAAATTAATGAATATTGATGAATAAATAGAATAAATAAATAATAATGAATTATATTGTTATAATTATAAAATATACGAAAAAGAGGTGGGACAATTAATTACGAGTGTTGGGGCATTGAAAAAAAAAAAAAAAATAAATCAAATTATTCTTTTTTTTTAAAAATGAAAGAAAAAAAGTTTGTTTTGTGATTTTTTTGTGTGTATAAAAAAATTTAATTTTTTTTTGTGTGTGTATATAAATTTAATTTTTTTTTGTGTATATAAAAATTTTAATTTTTTTTATGTGTATATATAAAAATGTTTTAAAAAAATCTAATTAAATATAAGAATAATTTATTCTCATTGGAGTTGAATTTATTGGTGAATTTAAAGAACTTGTTGTTGTAGCAAATGAAGATCTACCACCATTATTATTACGGTAAATATCATTTCTGCTAATATTATTGCTGCTAATATCATTTCTGCTATTATTACTTCTAAGATCGTTACTGCTAATATTATTACTTCTAATATTATTACTAAGGTTGCCATTGCCGTTATTACCACCACTACCGCCATAATGATTATGATGATACATTGTAGACAAGATCACAGGTGGAGGCAATAATAGTAAAGGAGATTCTGAATCAGTTGAAGGATCTCTCGTATGAACAGCTATTGTCTCAATTGATTCTCTTGGTGGAAGTGGATTATTTGTTGATATGGAAGAAGTAATATTATTTTCAAAACCTATTTCATATTTATTATGAACTGTCATTTCACTATTTAAAATAAAATAAAATAAAAATTAATATTTTCCTTCTTTAACTAATTTAACTAATAAATAAATCAAGATTAAATAAATTTACTAATTACCCATATGCTATTCCTGCCATTACAGCAACGTTTACTAGCATTGGAAATAAATTAGTAAATGCAGCAAATACTTTATTACTGATTAGGTTTTCATATAATTGTTTGCAGAAGATTGCAGAAGCAGCCAATATTATTCCTAAAATTATTATAGAAGAAATAAATGACATATTTATTATACGCATCTAGATTTATTATAGAAAAATAAAATTTTTTCATTAGTAAATATGTAATTTTTGGGTAAGCAATAACATTTACTATTGTTGGTAACTACCTTGCGGACACTACGTTTTAATCTTTTATGTTTAATTTCCAATTCTAATCCTGATAGACTATGAGTAGTATTACGAGAATTTTTTGATTTAATATGACTTTGATAATCATTTACACCTTCCAATAAGTGTATACCTTCACTTGCTATACTGATCAATTTACTACCATATATTATGTATCCAAATGACATCAAGAAGCAACAAATTGCAAAAACACTAAACTCAACAGATTTCAAAACGTATGCTATCACTATTGAATTTGGGTTGGTTTCCAAATAGCCGATGAAAAATGAGCATGTTGTGAGTGTAATTCCTATTGTGAATATATAACAAAAGTAGATGATAGTTGTGTTTTGAAGACTTGGTAGGTAAAGTGTTTTATATTCTGGATTTTGTCGATAGAAATGCATTCTTGGTATTGTTCTTAATATACCGGCTAAATATGTTGTTACTGATATTGAACCCAATAACCAAGAAACGGTAAATAACATTTCTCGCAATATCATATTTTTCGGAAAGTAATCATATATCAATATGAAACAATCAAGCACTCGTACTGTGTAATTATCATAAACGAAATGGAAAAGATAATTATTGTTATTAACACTTTTTAAATGGTTTTTTAGTGACAATAATAATATTTTGTTACTTACACATGCCCCAAAATATTTGAGTGAAAAGAAATCCTTCCATTGCCAAAAACCCTTTTATACAAAATAATTTTGCCTCTGGTTTACTGTATTTACGCCATGATAATAGTCCAACTGCACATAGAAATACTATTAATGATAAATATATTGTTATATTATATATTATTTGGTAATAATTTTGGTCTACACAATTTGAAATTGTCACTGTCCATCTAAAAAAATTTTCGAAAAATGTTTATATTAATATGGGTCGTTTTACAACAGCTTAAAAAGATACCCCATTAAACTATTGTACTACATAACAAAAAATCCGCCTATATCAACTATATTAATACTTACTCGCAATTTGGTAATGGATTCTTCTTCCCTGAGGAGTCCATTATTATATTATTTATTATTTTATTATTTACAATTATATATAAAAAAAGGAATTATCAAAACCCTATATGATGATATATGGTGGAATTTCCAAAAAAATTTCTTTGGAAAATGCTCTCTTCTATATATACACACACAAAAAAATATTATTATCGATAATATCGATAAAAAAAGATGATAATTTATTAAATAATAATAGAAATTAATTGTCCAAAGAAAAAAAAAAAAACAATTTTTTGTAGCAACGCCCAATTTATATGAAATTTTTTTTTGTTACTTTTTTGAGATCCGTATATGTGCTAGTTCGTACAATGTCGTGTCTGTTGTGTTTTGTGTTTTACTATTTCTTTATGTGACGTTTTATGGACATTTATTTACTTATTTAACACATTCTTTGTGACTTAAACAATGATAATTATGGTATTATTAATATTAATAATTTCTATTATTTTTGTTTACAATAAATAAGTTTCAAAATGTACACAAGCTGGAATTGCCAAAACAATAAATAAAACAATGCTGAATAAAACTTTATGGAGATTTTATTCAAAAATAGTTTTAAAAATAGAAATTTTCTCCAAAGAATAATCCTTGTGTGAATGGATTAAAATTTATTGCGCGAAACTACAATTTTGGTATTATTGTAAAAATCATGTGACTTATACGAAACAATATTAACATTAAAGGTAAAAAATGATAATTCGTTGTAATAAGTGTCAGCCGACTATATTAATTTAATATTAATACTGGTTTTTGCCAATGATTATATCAGGGTTGGCCGCAGTCAAATCTAACACACCGGCGATAACGTGACATACCAACATAATTTTGTGAAAATGAAATTAGCCAGTTAAAAGGAATTTCGCATCTTAACACCCTTGGCACCTCTTGGCAAGGCCAATAAAAAGTTGAGTTGCAAAAAATTTATTTTTTATTTTTATTTATTAATAAAATTTTAATAACTGTCAAAATAGGAGAAAAAAAAACACAATTAATATAAATAAATAATCATTATAAAATTAAAAAAACTATAAAAATAATTACCGATAATGTTCAGGTTTAAATGGCCCATTAGGATTTATACCAAGATATTCCGATTGCGCTTGTGTAAGTTTTGTAAGTTTAACACCCAATGGTTCAAGATGAGCTAATGCAACTTCTTCATCCAATTTTTTAGGTAACATGTGAACACCAAGTGGATAAGATGTATTATCTGTCCATAAGGCAATTTGTGCCAATACTTGATTTGAAAACGAGCTACTCATAACAAAACTTGGATGTCCTGTAGCACATCCAAGGTTTACCAATCTTCCTTCTGCAAGCAAAATTATATGTCTGCCATTTGCTAAAGTATATCGGTCAACTTGTGGTTTAATGTTTACATGTTCTTTTGAATTTTTTTTAAGCCAATCCACATCAATTTCTATATCAAAATGTCCAATACTTTTTATAATCAAAAAAAAAAAGAGAAAGATTTAGTAAAAAATGATAAATATAATATTTTAATATCTTAATTGACAAATAAAAAAATAATAATTTTGTGAATAAAATCAACTGATACTTACTTACTTACAATAGCATCCTCTTTCATTTGTTCAAAATGTCTACCAACAATAATATCACGATTACCAGTTGTTGTTACAAAAATATTACCTTTTGAGCAAGCTTCATCCATAGTTGTAACCTCAAAACCTATAATGTGATGTTGCATTTTTAATTTAAATTTTTTATATAGTATAATATAATATCAATGTAATATTTTATCTACCTTCCATAACTGCTTGTAAAGCATTAATAGGATCAATTTCTGTAATGATCACACGAGCTCCCATTCCTCTAAGTGATGCTGAACAACCTTTGCCAACATCACCATAACCTGCTACAACTGCTACTTTACCAGCAATTTGTACATCTGTTGCTCTTTTAATACCATCAACGAGTGATTCACGACAACCATAAAGGTTATCAAATTTGGATTTTGTAACTGAATCATTGACATTAATTGCTGGAACTTTCAATTGTCCATCTTTAAGCATTTTGTAAAGATTATGAACACCAGTTGTTGTTTCTTCGGAAACACCCTTAATATCTAATAATTAATTAATAATAATCATCATCATCTTAATAATTCTTTTTATTGATATAATTAGTTATCGTTATAAAAAAAAACTTTCTGTTTATGATGGGAGTTGGACTGAATACGCTAGTAAAGAAGATTCTCCTATTGTTGGAAAAAAATAAGTAAATAAATAAATATTTGACATTGAAAATCAAATTTTGTCACCAACACTTTTTTTAAGAATTAAAATCTAACAAAAAAAAAATATCAATGGTTTAAAATTCGTAAATTTCTTTCAATTGTACTTTTTCTTTTTCTTTAATTTTCATGTTTTTTTTTCAAACATTCATCACGTACGTTATTACAATAAATAAAAAAAAAAGATTGTTTACGAATAATATATTCTATTCTACCAATTACCAAATAAATGTTGAGACAAACCCGTTTTACTTCACCTAGAGGTCTTTATGATTATGATGATTATGATAACAATTCTTCAAATGATAACGCTGCTACTTCTTTAAGAAATCGAAATGATTCAATGTTCTTCTAATCCATCAGATATTATCTTCCGAGTTAATGACAATTGATTTTTCCGAGTTATCAAATTTTCACGGAGGCAACAGCATTGTTATTAACAATAATAACGGCCATCAAGTCTAGATCTTAAATTAATTAGATCTAGGTCTAACACTTTACATACTATTAATCATAACAACAGCAGCAGCAACAACAACAACGATAATGCACAAAATTCCAATTATCATGGTAAAGAAAGATCTTATAAATATATAATATATATATGTGCGTGCATTTAATTATAATTAATAAAGGAAATTAATCAATATCAATGACAAAACAATTTAATCAAGTCCAATTTGTTTAGATATTATAAAAAGGGTCGTTGTGTCATTCTTATTGGTAAGATAATAAATTGCAATTCTTTTTGGAAATATTAGATATGATATTCACTCATAATCAGCATGAATTAATCTTTACCATAACCAATGTTTCGTAACTCCAGTCCCGAGTCCACACAATTCCAACCCCAACTTAGTCCTCATATTCAACTACTGCTCCTTCCACCCAATTTAGTGAACCTCTATTAGAGTTGTTAGGCAGATGCACCAAGACTAGACACATTATGTGACAGGTGCTCAAAAAACCAGCTTTAGCAATGTTAAGAAAAAATCATCTAGGCTACAAATTAACAACATCTTGTTGCTGATCATATACACGAAATATCTAATAATATTGTGTCCAATTTGAGACTTTTTCTTTTTTTGTCTTGATAATCTAAAGTATCTCTGTCGTTATTATCTTTTTTTTTGTTAAAAAATCTACTATGTATCTCACGTACAAGCTTATTTGTAAAGGGCCTTTTTCATTGGATGTTTTCTGCCTACATCTAATCTTTGGTTAATTAAAATATTTTACTTATTTTAAAAATAAATAACGTTACAGGGCTCGGAACTTGTTGTCCTCGTTTAATCAGAAAGGAACTTTTCTATTTGATCCACTTATTACCTTCTTCATAGACATGGATTTATTATATCGTGTTTAATATTTAAATAATGTGCAAGTGGGTGATGACTAAATAAAATTTTATACTTGGTATATATTAAAAACAGGTATTGTCAGGCGATCTTGTAGATCTTTGCTTGCTTTCATAATTCTAAAAGTGGAAAGAAGAATGATGATGTAAAAAGTTGAAGAAATAAATTAAATTAAGATTCAAATATAAAAGAAAAAACGTAATTTTGAAGACGGCAATCAGGTAGACTATATATCAAAAAAGAAATTAAAACGTTTGAGCTTCTAGAAATTTTACTGTGAAATTATAGAAATTTTTAGAACCTTAAAAAAAGAAAATTCTTCTGAATTAGCCCGGCTAGCTCAATTGGTAGAGCGTGAGACTCTTAATCTCAAGGTTGGGGGTTCGATCCCCCCGTTGGGCGCGTTTTATTTTAGATATCAAAAAATAAAATTTTGCCAGCAATTACATTTGGTTTTATTTACATTGTGTATAATAATAAATATAAATCACCATGTAAACTCGGACGCAGCAATTACTAAAATCCATAGTTTGCTATTAAAATTTGCAAGTGAATGTTCAACAAATCAATATATATTGATTGCGTCATTGTTTTTTCTTAATTTCGGTATTCAACCTTAATTACCTAAACAAGATGGAAATGGCAATGTTAGATACTTTGTGATTATTGTGGAGAATTGCAAAGCGGGTATAAATTATATATATTAATATATAGTTGTAGCATGCGAAATTCGTAGAGCTGCCGATTACAATGGTAATAGAAACTTCGAAGTTCATCATAGTTGTTTTTTTTTTATTTTTTATTTTTTGAAAATTTTATTTAATTAATATTAAGTTTGTTTTGTGTGTATTTGTAAGATGTAATAGTAATACAAAATTATTATTCTTCATTCACGTTCGACAATCCATTATGTCAATTTATATAAAATTTTCTTTTTTTTTTAAAATAAAAAAATAAAAAGCTAATAAAAAAATGGATGTGAAAAATTTTATTGATTCAGCGCTTCATAGACTACCACAACCAGAATCTCATGAAAAAAAAGTAAGAATTAACAATAAATGAAAAAAATTGCAAAAATAGTAATAATGATAACTACTTTTTTTTCAAAACTATTTATTAGAAATATTATAAAATTGGAAAAACATTAGGTACGTGAATTCCATTCATATCATCATCACTATTATATATATTAATTAATCGATTAAATTTAATTGTTTTTATTTAAATGATATCTTTAGGTTCAGGAGCTTATGCGTCAGTAAAAGAAGCAGTAAAAACAACTACAGGCCATAGAGTTGCGATAAAAGTTATTCAAAAACGTAAAGTAAGGAATCAAGAAGCCATGGTTTACAAAGAAATGGAAATATTATCCAAACTAGACCATCCTAATATTGTGAAATTTTATGATTGGTTCGAATCAAGAGATAAATACTATCTGGTATTTGAACTGTATCCTCACCAATTAACCGATTAATTGATTATTATTGTTATCATCATCATCACCATCATCATCATCATTATCATCATCATTATCATTATCATCTACTACTACAACTCTACCCGCTATTATTCCTTATTAAGTGCGACAGGTGGAGAATTATTTGAAAGATTGATTGATGTTGGCAAATTTACAGAATCTGATGCTATAGAAATTCTCAAGACTATACTTGGAGCTGTCAAATATCTTCATGAACATAATATTGTACATCGAGGTAATGATAAATTAATACTTAAATATTTTAAAATATATCCATTTATCTGCATAATTTATTAATTGAATTTGTTTTTAGATTTAAAGCCTGAAAACTTATTATATAAAAATAAATCAAAAGATTCACCACTTGTTCTTGCTGATTTTGGGTAATAATTATTATTATTATTATTACTATGCTTAATAAATAATTTTAAATAATTAATTTCATCATCATTATTATTTATTATTAAAGTATATCAAAAATTATAGATCATGAAAACGATATCATGTCCACACATTGTGGTTCTTATGCCTATGCAGGTAATTAATCATAAATATTCGATTATTGTTAATCAAGTAATATTATAATGAATAATTTTAATATTTATTATAAATAGCACCAGAAATTCATAAAAGAATGACATATTCAAAATCAGTAGATATTTGGAGTATTGGGTATGCATTTCTTATT